ATTTATCAAGATTTGAACAAGAAGTCAAAGAAGATAAGTCCTACATCTTCATCAACTCACTCTCACCAATCACCCGTTCTCAAGTACAAGTCAACTCAACACACGCTTCCCCGCAACCATTTTTCAAGCTCCCTTTTCCACCTGCGTTCTCCATCAAAGACTTGATTTCTAATTCAAAGTCACGTAAAAGTAAGAGCAAGCAGTTGCCAGCTCCACCGAATGCTTTTATAATTTATCGTCGTGCATTTGTTAAAGCCGCGAGAGAAGAGGGACATCAATTGCCGATGACAGTAATCTCAAGTATGGCTTCAAAATCTTGGGCACTTGAATCGGTAGAAGTTAAGAAAGAGTATAAGCGTGTTGCGAAGGAAGCCAGGAAAGAGCATAGAGCTCAAACTTATAATAAATTCCAAGCATTGAGAAATCGCGATGGTGGGGAATGTGATAATGAAGCTGTAAAAGGAGATGAAGATGCTTCCATGAGAAACCCTCCATATGAGGTAGATGCGAAAAAGAAAAATAGTGAGGAAGCTATTGTAGAGGAGGGGGTAAAATCGCTGGCTGATGATGATTTTATGTCATTAACAAACGCTATATTAGAATCTGAGAAGCAGATCGAACAAGCTAACTTTTCTTTAGCGTCAACTTATTTAAACAATGATAATAACGTTGGTGTGCTAGATGATTTTTATACTAATAACAATGATAATGTAAATTTGAATAATACGACAACTTCAATATCACTAAATTATCAAATAGCTGATCCAAACTATTTTGATTTTTATGAACAATTATTATTCCCTACTGATCAATCATCAATAGTACTTGATTTCGATCAAGACAACTTCAACAGCGATAACACAATTGCCCAATCTACTAACATCAACGACATCACAACTGAAGCTCTCAATGACGAACATTCCAAAGAAATGTCAAACAATACAGATATTTATTGCACGATATTTGGTCCCGATTTGTACAATTTTTGTGAATGACCGAGTTATTCTTGCCAAAGCTATTGTAAAAGAACAATCCGACAAAATAGAATTTATTAATTTTCCCATGTTCTGATTGGACAAAATTCAAAATACATCTTTGTAATATAATTAATATTAAATTTTTGTTTATAAAAGTTAGGATTAAGTTAGGATTAGGGTTTAAGATCAAAAATTATATGTAAATTTCTTCCGATATCTTTAATTAATATACCAAGCTAGATTTATGCACAAGTTCTTTATATTTTTCACATTTGTATCTGTTTTGTTTTGCAAAAAATTTATTGGTAGTTCAAATATTGCGTAATCAATTTTATCCAATTAACCGTTACGTTTTCCAGAACTTGGTAAACACGTTAAAATACCCCATTTACCTTATACGTACGTGTATTAACGTTAATATTATCTTTCTAAGATTAGCATATGTAATGGAAATCTACTATGAATCGATATAAATAAATATTCTAAATTTACCAATGTAACCTTAATTAAATTTCTCTTAGGTTGATCATCAATTTTATTTAATCTGCCAATTGAATATTCAAATATCCAAATTATCAGATTCAAATTTTATAATTCGAAATTCTAAGCTTTCAGAATATATCTTTTTTATAAAATTGGTCCACTAGAAATTATGTAATTATCATTTTAATAAAATTGATTACCTTTTGCGTTTACTAACTTCAAATTTTTGAGAGAGTTCACATATAAACTTTAAATAAAATTTTTATGATTAGAATCAGCAAAACCTGTTCTATTTAATGATACATTTCTTTTCATTAGATCAATTTGTTCATGTATAATTATTGTGATGATCATTTCTGTCAAAATTGATATGAAGTAATTAGACGTGATTTATAACACAGCCGGTGATTCAAATTTTGTAATTATTTTTTTATTAGAACACCCAAATTTTAAGCTTTCAGAATATATCTTTTTTATAAAAATTGGACCACTAGAAATTCTGTAATTCTTATTTGAATGAAATTGATCACTTTTGTGTTAAAACGAGTTATAGTATGTTTTTATTTAGATTACCAAGTATGGATTTAGGTGTCTTAATATTTACTGATCTCATTGTTTTTTTGGATTTTCATAATCTAACAATTTTTCCATATGCAAAATCGGTAATTTCTGATCTTTTAGGTATTACTCAAATGATTCTTTTGAAAAGCACAAAAAAATATTTTCTGAAAGTAGTAATCAAGGTGAATCTAATAAAAAAAAGATCAAATTGTTTGGATGGTTGATTGCATAAATTCTCGTATGCACGATGTCTAATTAAATTTCGCAAATAATTGATCGGTTGCCGATCTTGTCCGGATACTTTTGGCAGGTACTCTAAATTAGAGAAAAAATGTTACGAATATGAATTATGGTCAAAGAAGTGATTTTTTAAGCATGGTTGATTTATAAGTATAAATAATCTCGTTTCTGCCACGAAATAATGGCTTTCTTTTTTAAGGACCGAAAATCAGTTGAAAGGAATTCCGGAAAATCAATCAAGTTATGAAAAAGAGCTTAAGTACCAAAAGCACACTCATCTTTGAATTGTTTTCATCACCAAATGCTTCGTTATCCATCGGTGGATCATATTTTTCCGCCGCCCACTCTTTTAAAAAAAGTAATAAAATAACGAGTTTTAATATAATTTACTATCCCAAGACCTTAAAACGTTATATTTTTATCTTTTGATTGCAACTCTTCTCTTCATTCGGAGTTCGAATTTCAGATACATGTACATGGAATTTTCTTCGTACCAATCCCATTTTTTATGATCTATTTAGTAAATTTTATAGTCCACTGCACTTGCGTTTTAATTACAAAAATGAAAATCTTCTTATGCGCGGTGCTTTTTTGTTATCATGTTAATTCGGTTAGCATGTGCTGTATAAGCTGATTTTTATGCGTATTTATTAATAATACTCTTGCCAAGGAATAACAAATAAAGTGTTACTAAACGAAAAGAGAGAAGGCGTTATTTCAATAAAAGGAAGCATTCACTAATTATAAACAATAAAATTGTTAGCACATGTATATAACGATAAATTATTATACATGTAGTATCATTGCAAGAAACAATCATTACTATATTTGAAAAAAATGCAATCTTCGAAATCTTGGCATGCAATAATAACGATAATAATACCAATACGTATTTTTGAATCAAGTATCACAATAACAATCATTACCGCGTTCGCAAACATATCAGCATTCTAGTAACATCAACTGTTGCGTGAAGTGCCGAAATTTTAGCCGCTGATCTCAAGATCTCTATGAGATCAAAATAGAGCATATAAATTAATTGTTCATTGAGAAGAGAGGAGAAAAGAATGTACATGAAAGGAGAAAAATCCTAATTATCAGCCGAAATTTTTAATGTAAGACTAATGCAAGTATAATTTTTGCCGAAATTCTTAACAAAATCTGATGAAATTTAAGTGCTGAAATTTTAAGTTTCTTAATAAATAGAAAATTTTCAAACCTATATAACTTAAAAACTTATTGTTATTTTTCAAAATATGATTCTATTAGTCTATTCTTTTAAAGTTTACTATATTTATTGGATGCGATTAGGCTTAATGCACCAATGACATACCAGGGAGAGCATGGAATTCACGGAATTTGTATTATTACGGAGCCATTTTTTAGAGACACGCAAGATGCTACCTAATTGAATTTAATATTTAAAGTTAAAACTTTTGTTCTTTAGGAAATGTACACTCTTCTGACAAAAGTCATACGTTGAAGTTTTTATTTTATTAATAAATATTTTTTATTCTATATCAAAATAATGATTTGATTTGATAAAATATCTCAATTGTAAATTGATTGTAAATTTTTTATATTTGAATCTATATTTAGATATAAAAAAGATTTGACAACCACTTTATATTTCATCAAATTAAATCTAAAAACTATATGTTAAAATAGATTCTTATCATTATTTTTATATAGAATAAAAATATTTATTAATAAAAATAAAATCCTAAATATAGAGAGATAATTCCAATTTTTACTATATTCTATTAATAAATTTGACTCTTGGCTAGTGACTTTTGTCAGGGAGAGTGTACAATATTATTACATAATGAATTAAAAGGATAACAATAATAAATTCATTTTATAATATTAATAAAGTTAAATTCATAAAATCAAAAACAAAAAATTATTATACATATTCTGGAAATTTCAATCAATGACGTAATGAAATTGATTGTTTGCATCAATCTCTGAAGTTTTATTATTTAGTTAGCTATTTATAAATAAATTTATTGAATAAAGCAACAATGATTGTATGATGTCCGAAATTTGATTGATAATAGCGATATTGTGACGATTATATATGATAAAATAATACCGATACGAAATTTGGTTGACGAGGTGCTAGCAAACGTTAGCAGCAAAATATACGTTAAAAATGTCGATACGATAATATACGATAATATGAAGTTCGATTGACGAGAGGATAACGAGTTGTTAACGCACTTCTTGACATGATAATGATAAAATTTTCCCATGCCTCATTAGTTTGACGAAATTAATAGTATGTGCATGTATACAGACCAGTAAAAATATGCACTCATGTAATGTCACCACAACATGTTACATTTAAGCATGTTATTGATACGACATAATCTCAACAATTAATATGCCTAACAAGCGAAATTTCGAATGAACGGCATCCCGAAAACACGAAATTGCGAATAAACGAAATCCCAAAAAACGGCATCCCGAATGAACTCTCGAATCCCGAGTATACGAAGCCCCGAATGTAGTTATTAACTTTTCTTATTGTTTCTTTCTTTGCTTAATATGGAATTAAAATGTTAGTAGTATTTTTAATTTTTACAAATACTTACCTTCTTCCTTATTTCTTGATCTTTCTTGCTTTATCTTCTCCTTTACAGTTCCTGTTTGGTTTTTGCTTCTTCACCTCTTTGTGATTCTTTTACTGTCATCGCCACTTTCGATTATCTTCTTAATAGGAAAAAATTTAAAGGGTTAATGTTTTTAATTTCTAAAAATTGTTCACCTTCTTTTCTTACTTCTTCGTCTCATTGTCCTTGCTCCTTCTCCTTTGCGGCAATCTTCGTCTCTTAATCATCGTTTAAATATCTATCTCGATTCTCTTTGCATCCAAATTCCGATAGGTTGATTCAAGATAATATTGGCTACCTTTGAAAACACTTTTCCTTTCCATGTATTTATCTGCATACAAAGCAACTAAGAAACTTGGATACTTTGCGTCGTTGGCTTGGGCAAAGAAAGATTGCCGCAAAGATATCTCCATCTGGCACACGACTCTACAACATCTCTTCTCATTCCCGAACTAACCTTTCAAAATGCTAATACCACTCCTCCTTGTTTTGTCTCTCGAGATCATCTTTTTTTGCATTAGAGAACCGGCCAACAATCTTTCTTGATAACAACTTCTATTCACCCAATTTCCGGTATACAATCTTATTAGCAATATTGGTTCCGACATCAACATCACTTAAGACTTTACTGGAACGATCAAGCGCAGCGCTATCTCAGAGATTGTCATTACCTACTATGACCGTTCCTGTTGTTTCATTTTCGACCATAATCCTATAAAACTCGTGGTTCTCTTCGACGAGTCGATTTCTGGCAAAACACAAGCTTTATTGAAGATATACTTACCATCAATACTATCTTCATCTGCTGCATGCAAGGAAAAGAGCTACCCGTTATAGATGAGAGTGTCCAAACAGATAAGAAACACAAGGGGAAAGTGACAGCAGCTCATCGCAAACATCAGAAAGTGGAAGATACTCTCAATCGCATGCTATTAGTTAAGTGTATCCCGAACCACCCACAAGTCAACAAGGCTTAATTTCGCATACTCTTATATTCGATCTCGGAAAGATTTACGTCATGCACTTATTATCCGTGCACAAATTTCTCAAAGCTTAATTATGGAACTGGCAAACATAAGCTACAAAATTCAGAAAATATCGAAAAGCGATCCTATAATA